AAAATACTTTACATTAATAGTATTAGTGGACCAGTCAAATTAGGATCTGAACATTGATCAAAACAATTATCTTAAGTCGGGCAACGTATTCTCAAATGCAAACTCAAGTTGGAAGGCTTTGCCGAAATTAAGATGGGAGCATCTTGACTCCGATGTTAGAGCAAACTTGTATAGTCAAACTGAAACGTCTCGGAAATTACGAACCAGAAGCCACTTTAAGGCCCTGAAGGCCTCCCGTCGAAACCACCACTGAGGCCCGTCCACCCTCCGGCCGGACACACCGACAAGAACGTCGTTGCTCCGCTAGACCGCTCCTTTGAGCCCTCACCGTCCGCCGGGACGCCACGACTGACGTCGTTGGCTCGCCAGACTCACCACTCTGAGGCCCATCAACCTCTCGCCGGACCACCACCTGACGCGGCATTGCTCCGCTGGAACCACCAACTTGAAGCCCTCTCCTCCGCGCCGACCACCGCCTGACATCATTGAAATTCCCGCCCATGGCTGGCGAGCCGGCTCGAGCTCGTTAACAGTGACACGAGCTCGAGTTCGAGCTCGCTTTCTATCTAACGAGCCGAGCTCGATAAGAGCCAAAACTCGACTCGTTTACACCCCTAGCCCTAATTCATATCAAGATGAGGTTCCAAAATTAAAATGTGGCTTTCATTATTATATTTAAATAGAATTTCATGATTTAATAATAATAATAATTATTATTATTATAAAATTTTAAATAAAATACTAATTATTAAGAAGTAAAATTTGTATGTTCAAAATAATAATTTTATAGAAAAATAATTAACATTAAGATATTATTGGACCAGTCAAATTAGGATAATAAATTACTCTCATCGAATATATATTTATCAAATACTAAAATAATTGCTGACTAAAAGTCTAAATCATTATTATGATAGATTTGATGACCATTATCATAATTTGATTCACCTATTTTTATTTAAGTGATTATTATGTGAACGCGTCTGAAGATCAATTCAGACTAGCCACTTCATTCAATACACTGTGCATTGAGTGATGTGACGCGTCCAGATTATCCTCTAGATGCGTCCGGAATACGGATCCAAACTGACATCCGAACGCATAAGGACACCGTACGGTATAATTTTTCCTTTTATTAACATATTTGTGTGCATGAGTTTTTAGTATTAACATTCTAATACACACTTACAAAAAATTCATAATGTTAGATACAAAAATTAATATAAAAATACACATTTTAACACTAAGATGTCTGATAAGCTCAATTAGATCGCATTTTATTTAGGGTTTAGCTAAGATTGACTTGGATTGATTTGGATTAATTTTAACTAATTAAAAAAGGTTCCCTTTTGGAAAACCTAAGGAGCAAACTATTTGACCTTAGGCGCGCCAAGTCCTTTGCCGGGTCAACTACGTCTTCCACGTCTGTCCGAAGCTAATAAATGTAGAAAAAACATTAACATGATGACTTGACGAGACAGACACAGAGAAAGGTAGAGAGCGTGAAATGATTTCTGGTCAAATGCAGCGCAAACGTCAAAGGTAGCTATCGGAAATGATATATATTAGCGTTGCATCTGAGTGAAGTGAGGAGCCAATGCTGTTAAGTCATAGGCGGAAGAAATCGAGTTGGAAGAGTGAGGATCTATTTTTATTTTTTTAATAAATTTTATTTTATTTTTATATTGAACGCATAATGAGAAAAAATGAACAAGATGAGAATATTAATATTTTTTTTTTACGTGAAAAGTCTTGATGTCATTTTGAAATTGCCAAAATTAAGTAATTGATGGTGAGAAATATAAATATACCGTCACGGTATAAGTATTTGTTATGTCTTATTTAGATTTCATTTTGTGATGTTTCTTTTTTTAAAAAATTTTTTTTTTTGTATCATAATAATAGGTTTTATCTAGCCTTGATTTTTCAAGGTTTTCAATAATTTTTTTGCAATGAAGACGATAGTTTTAAAAAAATTATTTTTTCTATAGCAACTTTTCAACCAACTTAATAAAAATAGCCGTAGTCTCGGACCAAAATGAATCCTTAGTATACTTAGGAGAGGAACGGGCCTTAATTATTAGGGGGGCGCAAATTTATAAAAAAATAAAAACATATACAATACAAAATTCAAACTAACATTTGATATTGCATTATATATGTGAAGAAAAAAAATCACAAATTTAACATTTTATTTTGCATTTTCTAATAATATTACATTACAACTTTTTTTAACGTAGGGTGACCCATCAATAAAAAAAACTTGATTAATATCATTTAATTATTATATTATTGAAATCAACTGTATGAATATTATGATTCAATCAAATATATATTTTTTGATATAATATGATTATATGCTATTATCTATTCTAGTCATGCAAATCCCACATTATTTTTATTACATATTTTTCAAAATAAAATTTAGAACATATCTTAACCTAAATTTTCTCCTAAACTATAGGAGAATATTAGCCCTTAGGCCCAAAAGAGCTAATTCCACTCTTAATCAAATATCTAAGCCATAGGTAACTACTCATTATAATTTGCAAATCAAATGAATTATTACAAAGCCCACTTCCGAATTGCAGAAAGAACAAAAAGACATATCACAGGTTAAAATCATCAAATAAAATGTTACATCACTCCTCTTAATCAACAATAAGAAGAATAGAAAGCCAAAAATTACAACTTAAAGTCGAATTCATCCGAAGCATGAAAAAAAAAAAAAAACATAGGAGCTTACTTGGATTGGAAGAAGGTATGGTAAGAAGAAGATGGGCTTTTTGGCTTTCGACCTTGGACCTTCGAGCTTCTGACGGTGCAACAACAAAGAGAAATAGAGCGAATCATCAAACAAACGAAATGTCACTTACGATTTACCAAGGGCATGAAAACGGTCTGCTAGGGCAAAGAAATAAAATGAAGGGCAAATTGCCTAAAACACCACCGACGTATTTACATTAGATAGAACATATTAAATTATTTATTTGAATATTATGTTTTTAGTAGTAAAATCTCATATATAGCCTCTTTTTCCAAATTTTTTTCCTATAATCTCAAATTCTTTTAGCTATAAGAATCATTTTCATCTATTCTGTCTTATTAAAAAACACATTTTCACTTAAATCTAATAAAAAACATAAATTTTAATACTTATGACAGTATTTTTAAGTGCGTCTATATTTTTTCACATAGGTTGAATATAATACATCTACTCTCATAATCATACAATTGGAAGGCAAATTAAACCATCTAAGGTGACTCTCTTTAATCTTATTTGTCACCAAAACTACTCCCAACATTTTCACGTATATACTCATTTTGCATTCTGTCTCTAATTAAGTATAAAGCCACTCATCCTCATAAGCATTTACGTATGAGCATACTTAACTTAATTTTATGCATCTCTTTTAATGGTGACAATCAGCCAATGAAAGTCTAGCGACGATCTGCTGGTGAAAGTCTGACAGCGATGGCCTGATGGTGGGGGTTCATAGGTGGTGCTTTTAGGTTGCAGCTTCAAGATTCTTCAAGCTTCATGGCTAGCTCTCTTGATCTTTAGCCCGAGGTTTAAGCTTCAAGTCCAAGCCCCCTCTCACGTTGGGGGGGGGGGGGGGGCCCCGCGGGGGGGGGGGGGGGGGGGGGTGTCTAGAAAAATTTGGAGTGATCAATTAGACGACTCATATTGATCTCTTCGACCATAGATCATTTCTTTAGTATTTAAGTGCTTTAATGATGTTAAAATTAATCAAATGATCTTGGCTTGTTAGATTCGCCTCATTGAATTGCTTGCAAAAATTATTTGATCACCGAATTAATATTCTGAAGCTTGTAAATATTCTTCCAGCCATTGATTTGGGCCAATTGGGCTCGTATTGGATCAATTTTGATGTCGTTGGATTCATCTCGTCAAGACATTTAGTTTGGCTATAAGTTTCTTTAAATCAGAAGTTCGAAAATCCCGAATTTAATTATGAAAGTTTCCAATTCAAATATTAATTGATATTCATGTCCGATCAAGGCTATATTTGGCGACCTATCAATAATCATTAAATCAATTTCATTATCATTATTCGTTTAATTTATAATCATAATCCAGTTTATTTTTACATAATAAAACTTAAGCTTTCCATAATTAAGCTCATTTTTTTTTTAAATAATCAATCTTATCGTTTTATATTTTAAGTAATCTATAAGAAAATGGATTTAATATTCATTAAAATAAAAATAATCATCATTAAGTTTGTAGCATAATTAAATTCTCTTAATGATTAATCAACATTTGTTTATATAATATTAGAGCATCATGATAAATTAGGAGCCCGATTTCTTTTTATATACATATAGTTTTATTTTATTTACATCTTAATATAAAGTAAAAATATATTTGATATTCTAAGTAAATGTTAACTAAATTTTTATTGCATATTACATAAATGGTGATGTTGGGCAATGGCCACTAGTAGCAGTGAGCAAATTATAATAATTTAAAAAAATATTTTTTGTTATAATAATTTAAATTATTTTTTACAAATAATTATAATTGCTTGGTATAAGCTCTATGAAAGAATAAACAATAAAATAATAGCATATTAATATTTTTATGACTAATTGTTTTAAATTAGAGTAAATTAGTTTGTTCGTGATATTTGTTTTATAAATGATATATTAATATCATGTTAAAAAATTAAAATACTAGATCAATATAATGTATAAAAAATTATGGAGTTTTACATGCAAATTTTTAAATATTTATGTATTTATATTATATATCTATAATACTTAAATTTATGTATTTATATTATATATTATAATATTTAAATTATTAAAAAATAATGCTATTGTATTTGTATATATAAATTGTGATATAATTTAGATACTAAATTAGTATAAAGATAATTAAAAAATTTAGATATTGAATATGTATAAATAAATAAATAATATAAATTTAAAATTAAAAATGATATCAAAAGAGTCAAAGTCATTCCATCGCTTCTCATTTCCGTGTCTCTCGCAGTCTCGCTACCCCCCCTCACCCCGCACACGCCTCTCTCTCTCTCTCTCTCGTTTCGACTGAGTTCCAATGGCATGGAAGGGATGGACATATCGCAGATTCTCCGTTATAGCTACTCGAGTCTTTTTCTTACTCATAATATTTCAAATCCCTCTCTTTAGGTGAGGTCTCATCCCCGATCCTTGCCATCTGAAAGTGAAAATTTTTATTCGTTCTTGTTTTAATTGTTCTCAATTAAGTTACCACTTCTCTTTATAATTCCCGCATTCAAGCTGAAGAACTTATACTTTATGATTTTTTTAAAATCTAACAACTGATTGACGCAAACCCTAAATTGGATTGAAAAGGCACTTTCTTGTGTCCTTTTTTTTGGACGACAGTTGTGCAGGAAAGAGGCACAAATGACAAGATCAAAATTCTATTTTTCCTTGATTGATAACTTTGTAGTATCCTTTGCTGTTTTTAAGAGGATCGAAGCCGAAATTAGGCAGTTTTTTAACCCCCACAGTTCAATGGACGAAGATTCTTTGAATGCTATCGGTGGAACTTATTATATACTTTGTGCAAGCGTGTAGTAGTAAAGGATTTAAGAACTCAATGGTGATCTTATGCCGTATAATTTCATAGAGTTCACTGCAATTTGAAAGGCTGTATAGTGTATTGGAATTTTTAAATCAAGAGCAATTTTAGGTTGATTCTCGTAGCTCCCATCTTTATTACCGTTATTGAATAGATTAATGGGCCAGTAAATTGTCAAGGTTGTTGCTACCCTGAGGGCTAACTCCCCTTTATAGGAACCAAATTACAATGTTTTATGGTTTGCAAATTTTTGTAGCTAGCTTTACTAATATTGGAAATCCCCATGTAACAGATAAATTCTCACTCATTTATGTATCTAAAAATCTTCAAATATCTAATTGCATCTAATTAGATGTATCCCGTCATCAATGTTTTATCTATAGTATGTCAATGGGAATTGTTTTGCAGACTAACACCTCTAACAAGGACGTTTCTTTCATAATGATTAATTTTTTAGATCTACAGCCTAGTGAATTTAATGACTTGTGTAAATCCTAATGTAGCAGGAAAGTAAGAAGGATACTTATGATCTCATAGAATATTATGTCTCAATTAGAAGAATATGAAGCATCATAAAAATCTTAGCTTGGTTGGCTAAATGCCCAAAGCAGTACAAAATATTAAATCTAAGTTCCAACTAAAAATAAACGATTCTTTATAAAAGTAGCCTTACGTCCAATTGACAATTCTCCTAAGGGATCTTTGGCATAGGAGGACTCAAACAAACTCAAAATTTGCAAACAAAATATTACATAAGCAAATTGATTATGATCATCAAAGAAATAAGTTCCACAACTAGGTTGGATAGCTGCCATTAATTTATTTGGGGATCTATGGTGGAGATGGAAGGCGGTAATGTGACTAGAAGACTCTCAAGTAGGCTGCATGGTCCGGAAGTTTATAAATTATCAAATTAACGGTAGAACCTGCAATGAGGTATTTGGAGGAATTGTCTAGGTGGACTTTCAGTGACCATATATAGAAAAAGTAATGGAAGGATTGTTACATCGATCAAATAATAGCCATTTATATAATACATATGAATACCATTCATATGAACATTCAACTTAAATACAAAATAAATGGTTCACACCACACGCACACGCACACACACACGCATATGCACTGTCACACGCACATATGCATATATGCATATACATAGAGAGAGAGAGAGTGTGCGTGTGAACACAACATAGATTTTTAAGAGGTTTGATAATGTTGTAGAAATCCATTATTAGGAAGAAAATAGGAGAAGCTTCACTATTCAAGTAGAACATTACAAAATTAAATGTATGGTAATTGGCAAAATTACAAGGCTTAAGTTGTTGTATATGCTAAATAACCCTTTTATTGTAGGCCAGAAGTTGAATTTTATAGACACAAGTTGAGGCGATGCTTGCATGTTGGCGACTTAGGGCACTGTGGTTATCAAGGTTTGGTAGTGTGTGTATTGGTCCTGATAGTGCGGAAGTAGTTGAATGCAACATCGTTGTGGCATGCATGCAATAAATGAAGAATCCTTGGAATTTTGGGATCATGATTTAGGTATGAAAGAAGTGAGGCATAGTTATTTCTTTGTACTAGAGGTGATCATATGGTGTCTTCCGAATGATTGGAATGAACGATGATGATTGCTGGAGGAATCTTTTACATTTGAGGAGTTAACTTAGTTGAGTTTAGATGATATATCTAGGCAAAGGCGTTGATCCTGTTGTTTCCCTCTTGATGATCCAATCTTACTTGGATTGAATAAAATTAAGCAACAAGCCTTGTAGCATCAATCTATTTTGGAGATGAAGAACTTGTTTGTGCTTCACAAAGTGGGAGTGACTTGGCTTGGTGCTGGGAAAGCCCCTTATAGATTAGGTTTTGAATTCAAATGGCTAGTACTAGAAAATTGACCAAACTAAATTTTGAATCTTCTTGACACATGGATGGTTTTGATGAGCTGTGTGTGAAACTAGGTGTTATAGCCATATAAATCATTTTCTTATCATAGTTTCCCTCTTCTATTTCTCTCCTTGGAAATATCTTTTTATTAATGGTTTGTTGAAATTATCTCATTTATTCTCATTGTCCTTTCACTATGTAAGCTTCTCCCTAAATTTCCTCATTTGCCATTAATTGGTTAGCCACATCTAGATCTCCCTTAAATTTAATTTTGTTAATTAGTAGTCCTTGTACTTTAGCCTATATATGGGTTTATTTTGTATTTTAAGATGATGATGAATGAATGAAAGATTATGTTAATGCTAGGGTGTCCCCTGCCTATTTAATACTGCCGTTATCAGGTCCCAAGTCCTGGATGAGAAAAGTGGAGGGTTGCGTTAGGTAGTCGACAACCAGCGTAAAATTTGTCGAACAATAATGACATGAATCCTTTAAGAAATTATGTTAATGTTGGGGCGTCTCCTGGAAGCGACGCGCTGTATGGCCTGAATACAGTGCCAACTGTGCAAGGGCCGCTGCACCGGCACCCGGGTGCCATGTTAAATAGGCAAGGGTTCCCACATTAAGGATGGATGTGGGCAAAGAAGCTAGTTCATGAAACTAAAATTAGGATATGAACTTGGAATATAGGTTCCCTTACAGGAAAATTAATTGAATTAATAGATATTATGATTCATAGGAAGTTAAATATTTTGTGCATTCAGGAAACTAAGTGGGTTGAAGAGAAGGCTAAGGAAATTGATAGTTTAGGATTTAAACTTTGGTATTCGAGTAGGAGTCGTACTAGAATTGGTGTAGGTGTTATTATAGATAAGAGTTTAAAGGATAATGTTATTAAAATTAATAGGATTGAAGCTAGAATTATAGCTTTAAAGATTGTTGTTGATGATAAGATTGTTAATATTATAAGTGCTTATGCTCCTCAAGTAGGTTTGGATATGAGTTCTAAATTAAATTTTTGGAATGACTTAGAAGAATTAATACAAAAGATACCTCTTGAAGAAAGAGTTTTTATTGGAGGAGATTTAAATAGATATGTTGGTAGAGAGGTAGATGATTTTAAAAACATTCATGGTGGCCATGGATTTGGAACAACGAATGAAGGTGGCAAGACCATATTAGATTTTTGTTTAGCTTATGAAAAAAGTGGCTAGTGATCTTAAGAATATTGCAAAAGATGTCCTTGGAGTATCAAAGGGAAAAGCTCCTAATAGTAAAAATAGTTGGTGGTGGAATCCTAATGTGCAAGAAAAGATAAAAAATAAGAAGCTTTGTTATAAAAATTGGTTTAATTTTAAAAATTCCGATAATTGGGAAATATATAAAGTTGCTCGTAAGGATGCTAAGAAAGCAATATGCGATGCAAAGACATTAGCTTTAGTGATTTATATAATAGATTAGATACTAAAGAGGGAGAAATATATATGTATAAGTTAGCCAAACAAAGAGATATGAGTAGTAAGGATTTAGTTCAAGTGAAGTGTGTTAAGGATGAAGATCAAAAATTACTTTTCTTAGAAGATGATATTCAACAAAGATGGATGAGATATTTTGCTAACCTTTTTAATGAAGATTGTGAAAATAAGATTGACTGTAGTGACCTTAGCACCCTAAATGAAAGTAAAGATTTCTGTTTTTATCGGCGTATTAGTAAAACTGAAGTTAGAGAGGCTTTAAATAGAATGAAGGGTGGAAAAGCTGTTGGACCTGATGATATTCCAATAGAGGTGTGGAAATGCTTAGGAGATGAAGGGATTTCTTGGCTTACTAAACTTTTTAATACTATTTTGAAGACTAAAAAGATGCCAGATGAGTGGAGAATGAGTGTGTTAATTCCTATTTTTAAGAATAAAGGTGATGCTCAAGATTGTGCGAATTATAGAGGTATTAAGTTAATGTGTCATACTTTAAAACTATGGGAGCGAGTTATGGAGCATAGGTTGCGGTGTGATACTAATGTTTCTCAAAATCAATTTGGATTCATGTCGGGTAGGTCGACTATGGAAGCCATACATTTATTCAGAGGTTTGATGGAAAAATATAGAGGAAATAAGGAGGATCTACATATGATATTTATTGATTTAGAAAAAGCATATGATAAAGTTCCAAGAGAAGTGCTATGGAGAGTTCTTGAAAAGAAAGGAGTTAATAATGCTTATATTCAAATCATTAAAGATATGTATGCAGGAGCTATTACTTGTGTTCAAACACAAGGTGGTTTGACCAAGTATTTCCCTATTTCGGTTGGGTTACATCAAGGATCAGCCTTAAGCCCATATCTTTTTGCTTTAGTCATGGATGTTCTCACTATACATTTGCAAGATGATGTACCTTGGTGTATGCTTTTTGTTGATGATATTCTTCTTGTTGATAAGACTAGAGAGGGAGTTGAAGGTAAACTTGAATTATGGAGGTCAACCTTAGAGTCTAAAGGTTTTTGCTTGAGTAGATCTAAAACGGAATATATGGAGTGTAATTTTAGCAGTAATAGTCCTAGTGAGGGGATTGTGACTTTGGGCGATCAAGTCATTAATAAGAGTACACGTTTTAGATATCTTGGATCTATTGTTCAGAGTGATGGTGAAATAGATGGGGATGTTATCAGTAGAATTCAAGTTGGATGGTTGAAGTG